ATACACAAATTCCTGCAACAGTTTGACAAGCGCAGCCGCTGGCGCGGCGCATCTTTGGTAAATGAGCACACCCAGTCTCAAGTCCTTTAGAGATAAAGTAGGTATACATTTCAGTAATACCTGGGTATATATGTATTTTGTTTTTCTAGCTTGATCACAATTATTTATTACTTCTTAACAGGTAGATGGTTAAGAGCTTAGGCGGCTTCAGTGGCAGCCCCTGGCCCCCACCCCTTGCACCCCCCAGGTACAGACGGCCCTGGCCCTCTCCGAGGGTCCGTCCAGCTCTGGGCTGCTGCTGCTGCTGCTGCTGCTGCTGCTCACTTGCAATCATAATTAAAGCTTGCTGCGTGTCCTCTGTTTTTTCTTTTCAAGGGAGGGTAACAAAATCAGACAAATTGCATTTATTCCCTTTCAATGGCGCAGAGCCAGCCAGGCAGGCAGGGGAGAGGGCAAAGCGACACATCAGCGCAGCTCCCCCTTCCCTCGAAGGCTCGGGGTACGCTTGGAGTTGCGGGCGCGGGCGGGCGGCAGGACGAATGTCACCCCCCTCAGGATGGCACCCGGGGTGGTCCAACCCCACCGCCCCCACCTTGTTCCACCTCTGTTCCCCTGGCCTGGGGTTCCCTCCCTTGGGGGTGGGATAAACGTTTAGTTGGGGCTGGGGATTAGTTTAATTTGAGTATAAATGTAAGTTTTTCTGTGGTGTTGTTGTTATTGTTAAAATTAGCTTCTACTGACTCATTGGGTTATTGTATAGTTTGTATTTGGTTCTTAAGGGGAGAGGGCCAGGGCTGCCGGGGAGGGGCCCCCAGCCAACAGAACGGCTGGGACAGAACCCCCCAGGCCATTCCAGCAGTGGAATATGATTACTATATTGAAACCGCCTTTTGCACAAAGGAGTAACAGGACATGGAGCTGAATCCTGTTGAAATATAAAATAAATGAATAAAGAAATAAATAATGCTTCAGTATCACATGCGGAAGGCTTCAGTTTGGGCTCACGTATTTATGTATTTGGTGGTTTTACATTCCCATTAATGAAGCAAATTCTGCCCACACCTTTTGCTGTCATACAACCCCAGATCATCACACTAACTGGGTGCTTCAAGGTAGGTGTAATGCAAGTGGGATGTAAATCTTCTCCGATTCTTCTTCTCACATATTTTTCTTTTCTTCTATTATGTTCTTCAAACTCACGAAATGAAAGAAGACAAAAAAACCAACCAACTTGTTAGGAATCACATAACAAGTCAACCTAAGCAAGTTGTGCTTCCTTTTTTTAGTTATTTGGCTATAAATTTTGATAGAATACAGGTAATTGCATTCTTGATTATATTATCTTTCCATTGATACATAATTCTATGATATTACTCCAAAAGCAGTAGTGTTATTGTCAGGAGTGCATGCCGGAGCCAGGCCCTGGGACCGGTAGGGCTTTGCAGGACTGGGGCTTTCCTAAGTTTGTTCTGAAGAGGCAAGGCAGGGCTGCACAGGTGAGGCCGATTGGTAACTCACAGCACCTGGTGGCAAGAGCCGGAAAGGGATATAAGGTCAGCATTTCCCTTTGGCTCTTTGCCACAGCAAAGCGTTTCCTTCCTTGGGCTTCTTGACTCCTTGCTTCCTGATCCTCGGACCCTTGGCTTCTTGACTCCTGGCTTCCGGACTCCCATTCCTGCTCCCACCCCACCGTCTTGCCCCCGGGTCCTGATGTCCTCCACCAGGACTTTGACCGCCCATAAACCGTAAAAGTTTGCTGTGGCCAACCTATGTCCCGGCCAGGGTGTCAGATGGACGGAGCCCAGCCTATAGATCTCACCACGGTGCAGCAGAACCTCTACACCCAGGGAGCTATGTTCTAGGGGGAGGTTCAAGCACTTTGAGCGGCCCCTGCTGCGGCCCCAGCCTGACGTGCTCCCCTGTCCCATAACCAGAGAGGTTCAGGGGGGAGCATGGTGTTGGCATTTGTCCAGCTCTGGCCCATCTGGAGCTGGTACTGGCTCGTCTTATCTTTAGCCCAGCAGAGCGTAGTCCGCAGACGAAAGGATAAAGCAGTATGTGCCACATGCTAATCTTTATTTCTCAACTATACCGAGAACACGCAAACATACATCTTGCCTCTGTGAGAGCAGAGAAGAAACTTACTCTCGACACAAAGAAACCGAGAGAACACTGAAAAACAGGAAACCAGTGGATGTCACATCCAGTCTCCCATTCCCGTGGGAACCCAACAGGAACTTGGACTGTGGAATGTAAACAATGTCTTGTGACATGCAGTTGCTGCTCAGTGAGGGAAATAGAAACCAACACATGGGGCCCTTCGAGGCTTTGTCAGCCAGTGTTGGCAGATGTCCGCCACCTGTGCAGCAGACTTTCCCACCCCACGGAGCAGCGTGTGCTTTATGGTCAGCCTCTTCGTGGGCCCGGCACTTTCTTGGGTCTCTCCGTACCTTGAGGCCAGCGACCATCTGCTGGGGAATTTGGACGACTTCATTGCCACCCTGGAGGGCACGCTTGGGGAGCTGAATCGCGCCCTGGCGGCTGAGATGGCCCTGCAGAACCTCCGGCAGGGGGCTTGCCCAGTTACCGAGTCCACCGCAGAGCTCCGTTGGTGGGCTGTGGACACCCTCTATGCAGCTGCCTGACGGTTCCACTTCCATCAGGGCCTTCATCCCTGCCTTAAAGATCAACTGGCGTGGGTGACCCCCCTCAGCACCCCTGACAGACTTTATCATGTTACGTATTAACATTGACCCGCGCTTGTCTGAGATTCCGAGCTCCGATCGAGGGAGTCCCCGGGGTCCAGCGCTGCAGTGGGGCTGGAAGTGGAGCCCATGCAAGTAGGTGTGGCCCGCCGCTCTCTCTAGCCAAGAGAAGGGTTTTATGCGGGCCCTGGGACTGGGCTTGTATTGCGGAGGGTGGGGCATTTCGCAGCAGAGTGTCCGGCGAAGAGGTTGGGAAACGCTAAGCCCCAGCTGTGCTAGGAGGGGCTCAGTTGAGGCTCAATCCCTGTGCACCCCATTTCCTTCTTCCTATCCATATTCTCTTTCCCCAGGGGGGCATGCTGGCCCTGGAGGCAATGATTGACTCTGGCATCTGTCCCCCCTCGCATCAGGACCCATTACCTGTGAGCCCTGTCCACTGGCCAGGAACTGTTAACGTTTCAACTAGTCCAGACGCCACATTTCCCTGTGGTCCATGGAAGCCTCTGCTTGGTCCGACATGACCCCGCCATTTCCTGGGTGCAGCGAATGTTGTGCTTCTCATCGTCTCTCTGCCACGACGTCTGTGCCCAACCCCCGTGTTGCCGCCGGCACCTGGGAAGTCTCACCAGCCGGCCCTCAGTTCTTCCACTTTGCAGGGGGCTGCCCCAGACGGGGCAGGGTTACCGGATGTCGGCCTAATCCTGGAGCCCTACCAGGATTTGGTGGACGTGTCTGAGAAAAAGGGGGCTGAGGCTTTGCCACCCCATCGGACTTACGATTGTCCTATTGACTTGCAGCCAGGAGCAGAGAGTCCTTTCGGCCGCATTTATGCCTTGTCAGCCCCTGAACTTGGGGCCCTCCGAGAGTACTTAGATGACAACCTTGCCAGGGGGTTCAGTCGCCCCTCTACTTCCCCTGCTGGCCCCCCTCCCCCACCTGCATGTTTTCCGGCTGCCTGCGCATCCCTAGAATGCTTCCCTAGAATGCGCATCCCTAGAATGCTTCCCTGGACGCAGCAGCACCGGAGCACGGAGAGGAGGTGGCGGCGGCTGTCGGTTGCGCTCCTAGGCGCCGGAAGCTGAGCCGGGTGGGCTGGAGCCTGCGCACAGGACACGATCCTTTCCGCTCTGCTTGCCAGGAGGGCAGGGGATTTCCCTGCTCTTTCTTGCGTTCGTCTGCCACCAATCTCCTTGCTGAGCGTGTCTGCTTGCTGCGAGGTGACGCTGCTGCAGCCTGCGCTGAGCAACGGAAGGGGAAAGGAGCGTGTCTGCCTGCTGATTCCTTCCTAGCTGCGTCACCTCGCACCAAGCAGACACGCTGAGCGAGGGAAATGGGCCATTGCTGGCCCGATCCGAGCAAACACAGCAACCGAAAACAGAAGAGGGTGGGCAGTAAGACCCTGAGGCAGAGGGCAGGAAAGGAATTCACTGCGGCTGTGTACTCCCTGCCAGAAAGGGACCAGAACAAGAAGAGGGGAGCAGCAGCTGACTTTCACTACCCAGTTAAAACCATACGCAGCAGGAGTCACAACTGAATCCTTAGGAAGGCGCTACAATAATTAGGCAAGGGGAACAGGGCTGATGAACAGACGGTAGTCTTGGGATGCCATACAGATCGAGAGACTCCACACACAAGGTCACTCCAACGCCCCCTTTAACCACGCGCTCTCCCGTGCAGCAACACGACTCACACGCCTCCACACACACATCAAAATATGCCCGATACAGGAACCCCAGCAGCCTCCTCTCTGCAGCCTTCCCTCCTCCGTAACACGCGATCTGATTTTGGCCCCTGCACTTGGGCCAGTCGGCTCCAGGGACCACATATTCGCTCAGTAAGACACACAGCCATTTCCCCTTACTTTTGAGGAGGAAAAAGTGTGTCTTATCGAGCGAAAAATACGGTCATTTTCCCTTTCAAACAGGATACGTGAACCTCTAAGAGAACTCAAAACCCACATAAGGAAAATGTTTAATAATTTGTCGACTGTGTCTAAATTAACAAAGGTTTTGTCCCTTCATTTCTACCACAGCCAAAGTAAGTGAAGGAAATTAGACTGAGCAGAAAATAACAGTAGTAATTATATGTAAAGGTGATAGTATTTAAATGAATAAAATGCTGAACTCTAAGTGGTTTTTTTATCGTTTACAGCTTCCCTTATGATATTCCCCCTCTTTGGCTTCTTACCCCTTCAGGTGTTAAACAGGGTTGTGTTATTGCCCCAGCTCTATTCATTATTTTCATTGCCACGATCCTACACGTTGTCGAAGGGAAACTCACCACCGGAGTAGAAATCGTATATCGAACAGATGGAAAGAAAGCTCTTCAATCTGAGCAGGCTGAAAGCAGGGAGTAAGGTTACCGTAACTTCCGTCATAGAGCTTCATAGAATCATAGAATCATAGAGTTGGAAGAGACCACAAGGGCCATCGAGTCCAACCCCCTGCCAAGCAGGAAACACCATCAGAGCACTCCTGACATATGGTTGTCAAGCCTCTGCTTAAAGACCTCCAAAGAAGGAGACTCCACCACACTCCTTGGCAGCAAATTCCACTGTCCAACAGCTCTTACTGTCAGGAAGTTCTTCCTAATGTTTAGGTGGAAGCTTCTTTCTTGTAGTTTGGATCCATTGCTCCGTGTCCGCTTCTCTGGAGCAGCAGAAAACCACCTTTCTCCCTCCTCTATGTGACATCCTTTTATATATTTGAACATGGCTATCATATCACCCCTTAACCTCCTCTTCTCCAGGCTAAACATGCCCAGCTCCCTTAGCCGTTCCTCAGAAGGCATCGTTTCCAGGCCTTTGACCATTTTGGTTGCCCTCCTCTGGACACGTTCCAGTTTGTCGGTGTCCTTCTTGAACTGTGGTGCCCAGAACTGGACACAGTACTCCAGGTGAGGTCTGACCAGAGCAGAATACAGTGGCACTATTACTTCCCTTGATCTAGATGCTATACTCCTATTGATGCAGCCCAGAATTGCATTGGCTTTTTAGCTGCCGCGTCACACTGTTGGCTCATGTCAAGTTTGTGGTCAACCAAGACTCCTAGATCCTTTTCACATGTACTGCTCTCAAGCCAGGTGTCCCCCATCTTGTATTTGTGCCTCTCATGTTTTTTGCCCAAGTGCAATACTTTACATTTCTCCCTGTTAAAATTCATCTTGTTTGTTTTGGCCCAGTTCTCTAATCTGTCAAGGTCGTTTTGAAGTGTGATCCTGTCCTCTGGGGTGTTAGCCACCCCTCCCAGTTTGGTGTCATCTGCAAATTTGATCAGGATGCCCTTGAGTCCATCATCCAAGTCGTTGATAAAGATGTTGAATAAGACCGGGCCCAAGACAGAACCCTGTGGCACCCCACTAGTCACTCTTCTCCAGGATGAAGAGGAACCATTGATGAGCACCCTTTGGGTTCGGTCAGTCAGCCAGTTACAAATCCACTGAGTGGTAGCATAGTCAAGACCGCATTTTACCAGCTTCTTTACAAGAATATCATGGGGCACCTTGTCAAATGCCTTGCTGAAATCAAGGTAGGCTACATCCACTGCGTTCCCTTCATCTACCAGGCTTGTAATTCTGTCAAAAAACAAGATCAGGTTAGTCTGACATGACTTCTTTTTCAGAAATCCATGCTGACTATTGCTGATCACAGCATTCCTTTCTAGGTGCTCACAGACTGTTTGCTTAATGATCTGCTCCAGAATCTTCCCTGGTATTGATGTCAGACTGACTGGGCGGTAATTATTTGGGTCCTCTCTTTTCCCCTTTTTGAAAATAGGGACAACATTTGCCCTCCTCCAGTCTGCCGGGACTTCGCCTGTTCTCCAGGAATTCTCAAAGATGACTGCCAGTGGTTCTGAGATCACATCTGCCAGTTCTTTTAATACTCTTGGATGCAGTTCATCTGGCCCTGGAGACTTGAATACATCTAAACTAGCCAAGTATTCTTGTACTATCTCCTTAGTTATTCTGGGCTGTGTTTCCTTTGCTGAATCATTTGCTCCAAATTCTTCAGGTCGGGCATTGTTTTCTTTATCAGAGAAGACTGAGGCAAAGAAGGCATCGAGGAGTTCAGCCCTTTCTGTGTCCCCTGTTTGCATTTCACCATCTTCTCCTCTGAGTGACCCCACTGTTTCTTTGTTCTTCCTTTTGCTACGAACATACCCATAAAAGCCTTTTTGTTGATTTTAACCTCTCTAGCAAGCCTGAGTTCATTCTGTGCTTTAGCTTTTCTCACTTTGTGTCTACACGAGCTGGCTATTTGTTTGAATTCCTCTTTGGTGGTTTCCCCCTTTTCCATTTTTGTACACATCCTTTTTTAATCTTAACTCAGTTAAAAGTTCTTTAGATAGCCACCCTGGCTTCTTTAGGCACCTTCCATGTTTCCGTCTCATTGGTATTGCCTGACGTTGTGCTTTTACTATCTCCCTCTTAACAAACTCCCAGCCATCATGAACTCCCTTTCCTTTTAGTATTACTGTCCATGGGATCTCACCCAGCACTTCCCTAAGTTTTATGAAGTCGGCTTTCTTAAAGTCAAGAAATTGAGTCCTAGTATGCTTGGCTGCTCCTTTCTGCTGTATAGTAAACTTCAGAAGAGCATGATCACTCGCGCCTAATGATCCTTCCACTTCTACCCCACTAACCAGGTCATCAACATTGGTTAGGACCAGATCTAAAATGGCTGTTCCTCTTGTTGCTTCTCCCACTTTCTGGACAATGAAGTTGTCTGCAAGGCCAGTGAGGAATCTGTTTGACCTTATGCTCTTGGCTGAGTTTGACATCCAACAAATATCCGGGTAATTGAAGTCCCCCATTACTACTATCTCCCTTCCTTTTGCATGCTTGGCCATCTGTTCCAGGAAGGCATCATCTATGTCCTCCGTTTGGCTTGGGGATCTATAGTAAACTCCCACAATGAGGTCCCTGTTATTCTTCTCTCC